CACACACACACACACACACACACACACAAGTAAGCCCACTCCCACTAGTATTTAAATATGAATTCTGCGTGTCTCTGTGTTAATGAATGTTTTGTGTAGTACTCGTACTGGAACGCTCGTGACGCTTGCGGTGATATTAGCGTCTGCCGTCTCACTAATGAGGACATGAATAACATCTTGCATGTGTGTGTGTGTGTCTGTGTGTGTGTGTGTGTGGGAGTGAGTGTGTGTGAGTGTGTGTGTGTGTGTGGGAGTGTGTGTGGGACACTCACTCACTCCCACACACACACACTCACTCCCACACACACACACTCACTGTATCTCTCTATTAGTGTTACTGGATCTTAGTGCTGTGTTCAACACTATTGACCACAACATTCTTTTGAATAGCCTAGAAAACTTTGTTGGCATTAGTGGAAGCACATTAGCATGGTTCAAATCGTACTTATCTGACTGCCATCAATTCGTAGCAGTGAATGAAGAGGTATCATATCGATCACAAGTGCAGTATGGAGTACCTCAAGGCTCAGTACTAGGGCCGTTACTTTTCACGCTTTACATGTCACTCTTGGGAGATATCATCAGGAAACACTGTGTTAGCTTTCACTGTTATGCTGATGATACTCAGCTCTATATTTCTTTGCAGCCCGGCGAAACATACCAATTTAGTCAACATACCCATAGTCGATATTAAAAACTGAAGCTAGGTGTGCTATTTGATAGCAATCTTTCCTTAGAAAGCCACGTTTCTAGCATTTGTAAATCTGCATTTTTCCATCTCAAAAATATATCTAAATTACGAGCTATGCTCTCAATGTCAAATGCAGAAATGTTAATCCATGCGTTCATGACCTCAAGGTTAGATTATTGTAATGCTTTATTGGGTGGTTGTTCTGCACGCTTAATAAACAAACTCCAGCTGGTCCAAAATGCAGCAGCTAGAGTTCTTACTAGAACCAGGAAGTATGACCATATTAGCCCGGTTCTGTCAACACTGCACTGGCTCCCTATTAAACATCCTATAGATTTTAAGATCTTGCTTATTACTTATAAAGCCCTGAATGGTTTAGCACCTCAGTATTTTAACAAGCTCTTGTAACATTATAGTCCTCCACGTACGCTGCGTTCTCAAAACTCTAGCAATTTGATAATACCTAGAATATCAAAATCAACTGCGGGCGGTATGTAATATTTAATGTGTATAAATAAAAAATATATATATATATCAATGCTGTAATAAATGGTATTTATTACTATGATATACAGTGAACTTTTCATATCAGCAGACAATATTCCATACAAAATATCCCCGCAAAATAACTGCATCACTGAGATTTCTGGTGGAGTAAACAATTTATTCTGAAGCAATATTTTCAGTTTTCAGTGTTTTATCAGCTTTTATATACTTACATTTGCATATTTACCTTTACAAAGGCCTATTTTTAACCTTTTTAGATGTATGCATCATCTTACATGTCAAATTATTACAATTTATCAATAAATTCTATAAACACTATAGGGCTGCTACCAGTCAGATTAAATAAATTACACTGCAAATAACAATAATTACAACTGCAATAAATAATGTTATGAGATTAATGTTTTAAATGCATTTATGAGTATACAAATAAGAAATGAATCTTTTCCAATATGTTTAATTAGATTTCACCTTTTATGGGCATTTTACCTTTATAAAGCCATTTTTTCTATAAGTGTGCATTATCTTTTGAGTCAAATTCTTACATTTAATCAGTGAATAAGAATAAGACAGTTGGGCTGTTACCAAGCAAATTAAATCAGTATCAACAAAATTCAATCCAGAAATAAGCTGCATCTGAAGAGGCATTTAGATGCGTTTACACACTGTTTAATGCAGGACATGAATGCATTTAACCTGCAGTTACAAATGCATAAATAATGTTTTGATATATTAAACATAAAACATTGAATACTGATATTTGAAATAATTAAAAAAATGAAAATATACTTTAAATGTGAAATTAAAAGCGCCAGCAGGTGGCAGTAAGTCACTGTTAATAAGCGAGTCATTGCGATTGAACAAGGCACTCCTCCGTGTGAACTTGAGTATAATTATACACATTTTCTGCCCCATGTCCTGTATTTGTGATCATTCTGAATGTATTTTAGTAGACTGAATCATGCAGTGGTCAGGCAGAGCGCACTAGACTTCACGTAATGCGTGCACTGTAGGTGTTTTGAATGTTTGTTTGTTTTTTGCGTCGTGAGAATATTGAGTAAAATAGCTCACTTGTCATGGTGTTATTTAACTATATCATGTTATGAATAAACTAAACATTGTGAATGTTTACCTCAGTGTGTTTCTTCTGAGTTTATGTGTGCGGTCACGCTCATTTGTTCTGCAGTCTCGAGACAAACAGAGAGAGCCTCAGCGCGAGCTTGTGTTCTGTGTTCTGCAGTTCTCTCTGATGACGCAGTAACTTACCGCGGGTCTGTCCAGTGATTGTAAAGTCATCAGGTCCGTCAGACTGAAGATATTTTAGCGGTAATGAGACCAAAAACATTTAATACCCATCGAATCCGAATTTAAGACATTTTAAGACTTTTTAAGGACCCACGGACACCCTGTTTTAGTCAAACTGCAGTTACCAACATTTATTTTGGTAGCTATTTTATATGTAGTCTTCAAACAAAAATAGTTATTAATTATTCTCTCTTTAGACCAAATCAATTAAGCTTATGAGAAATTTGAATCAAGGATTGAATTTGGAAAAATTTGAATAAATTATGACAATTTTAATTTTTGGGTGAACTATCCCTTTAACAGTAGTGAAAATGGAGCAACTTATAAAAATTATAGTTGTTCATATATAATATATATTATATCGCGCGCTGTATATGAGAACTGAAGAAGTGGAGCGTGCACGAGAGAGAGCACTTCTATCAGCGTGATTCCTCCTATCCTGCCGTCACTAACTTTAAGTTAATAGATGACGAACTGTGACTCCCGGGAAATACGGGACGTCTGGTCACCTTATCCCTAGCCCTTCAGGTGCTGAGGCCATTGTTTCTGATCGCTAGTTCGCGCTTTGGTAGCCTATCCGTCCACTGCGGCTGCCATACTGAGACTAGATACGCAAACGTCCCTTATCCGATTGCAATCCAATGACAGGGACACACATGTTGAAGGACAAGACAGTAGCCTACAGGATGTATATTGAATGTCCGGTAATCCTCAAATAACATTATAGTCCCATCTCGTCTTGTTAACGAAGACGCGGCATACATTTCGTCAATTTTTATCATCAGATATTAGTTTTAACTCGTCAACGTCTCGTCTTAGTCACAGAAAAAATGTTCGTTAACGAATATTTTTCATCGTTGTCTTCGTTGACGAAATTAACACTGGTCTGTATTCAGCCCAGATGGTGGATCAGCACTAGAGAGGACAGCGGAGACCAGGACAACTAGATGAGCCCCAGATACAGATCCCCAGTGAAGACCTGGTCTCAGACAGCCACCGGGACAAGACCACAGGAACCAGATGAGTCCTCTGCACAATCTGACTTTGCTGCAGCCTGGAACTGAACTGCTGGTTTCATCTATTTAATACTGTACAGCTGCTTTGACACAATCTGTATTGTTAAAAGCGCTATATAAATAAAGGTGACTCACACACACTCACACACACACACACACACACACACTCACCTCTCCGCTGATGATGTCAATAACAGATTCATACACGCTGACTGGCAGCTGCGCACAAAAAGGGTCAAAGGTCAGGGTTCACAAACACATTCTGTGTTTAATCTGTGTGTGCGAGTGTGTATGTGTATGTGTGTGTGTGTGTGTGCGAGTGAGTATGTGTGTGTGTCTGTGTGTGTGTGTGTGTGTGCGCGAGTGCGAGTGCGAGTGTGTATGTGTGTGTGTTTGTGAGTGTTAGTGTGTGTGTTACTCACGTCGGTGTGTTTGGTCATGGGGTTGAGCTTCAGGAACAGCGGACTCTCGATGATCTCACACACCTACAGAAAACACACACACAGCTTCAGTACGACACAACACACGGATGGGAGGAGTTTATCCTCAGCTCCACCCACCTGCTTATGAATGTGGATATCTGATTGGTCCGGAGCGCCGCCAGTCGTGTACCAGCCCAGAAACTCCATGTCCTTAAAAACCTGCTTGACTGACAGAGGAAAATCAGTGTCACACACACACACACACAGAGAGAGAGAGAGACACGCACACACACACCCCACTCAAATGATAGGAATCACTACACACAGCGTGAATGTTAGTGTGTGTGTGTTACTCACACTGCTCTTCTTTAGTGTAGTAATACTCTTTATCGATGTGAATCTGATCCTCTACGGTGTGAAACAGCAGCTCAAATGAGTTCATC